TAGATTTGTTAGGTACTGAATACTTCCCACTTAAAATGTTAAGATTAGCTGACTTTTTAATAGCAACATCTGTTGAATAAGTTGGCAGAAATATATATTAAATAAATGTAAAAGTGGAATATTATTTGCTTTAAAAGTTGAATTATTTAATAATACAGAACTGGCTTGTCTTGTAAAATATTAGCATGATTCACTGGAGTTTTGTACTCTGTAGCTTAATAAAATATTTAAAGTGCTGCTTACATGAAGATGTAGCAAGTGCATGTTATGTGATCAATTTTGAAGGGAAGATAGACTATTGCAGATGCTATAAGCTCCCTATGAGATGAAATATAGTGTAATTTCCTGTAAGTCAGTGCCTGGTCAAGTAGTGCAAACAGTTTAGGCTTTAGAAATTAGCTATTTGAGCTCCATAGTTTGAAAAGGCAAGGTAGATAGATATATAGATAATTTAAATCATTTGTGGATGGATTATATTTCAAGAGCATAAGAATTTCAGCATTATCTGGAAGCAGCCTGGATTTGTTGTCAGATGCCATATCCTTCCAAGAGTCTCATAGGAACAGTTTGGCATGGCTCAGTGAGGCAGACAAGATGTGCAAGTCTGATAGCATTACACTTTAAATACTTATCACTCGGAGTTAATGTAGCAGGAGAGTCTCTGACAACTTTGTTAGTAACTCCACTCATTAGAAATAGAGATATCCAAACAAATTTTCTTAACCCACATGAAGATGCCAGACTGACTTTTCTGTCATTATTTTTCCCTCAGCGTTCAGCCAGACCGTGCAACCACTCTGGCATTGTATTCGTGGGATTTAAAGTAAAGGAGAATAGCTTAAAGTGAGGGGCTGTGCTGTATGCTGCCTAAGACAGCACATTCCTGAATTCCCACTGCTCAATTCCCACAGCACGCTCCTGGAGTAACTGGCTGATCATGCCATGGACATGTGCGCTCTTCAGGGGTAGAAAGTGGCTGAATGGCCGGGTCCAGAGGGTGGTGAGTGCAGTTCCATCCATCTGGTGGCCAGTCACAAGTGGTGTTCCCAATGGCTCAGTGTTGGCAACAGTCCTCTTTAATTTCCTAGTATCACAGAGGAAGCTGTGTTGGAAGGGACCCACCAAGATCATCGAGTTCAACTCCCAGCCCTGCACAGGACCATCCCCAAGAGTCACACCATGTGCCCAAAAATGTTGTCCAAACACTTGCTGGACTCTCTCAGGTTTGGTGCTGTGACCTCTTTCTTCCCTGGGGAGCCTGTTCCTGTGTCCAACCACCTTCTGAGTGAAGAACCTTTTTCTAATATCCAACCTAAACCTCCCCTGACACAGCTTCAGGCCATTCCCTTGGCTCCTGTCACTGGTAACCACAGAGATCAGTGCCTGCCCCTCCACTTCACAAGGAAATTGGAGACTGCAATGAGGTCTCCCCTCAGTCTCCCCTTTTCCAGACTGAGCAGACCAAGTGACCTCAGCTGTTCCTCATATGGCTTCCCCTCAAAGCCCTTCACCATCCTCATGGCCCTTCTTTGGACACTCTCTAATAACTTTTTAACCTTCTTACATCGTGGTGCCCAAAACTCCACACAGTATTCGAGATGAGGCCCCAGCAGTGCAGAGCAGAGCAGGGTAATCACCTCCCTTGCCCAGCTGATGATGCTTTGTCTGTTATCAACAATCTTTATCAATGATTTATTAATGGAGAGATTAAGTGCTCCCTCAGCAAGTTCAGACACACCAGGCTGGATGGGACTGTTGATCTGCTGGAGTGTAGAAGGTTCCACAGAAGGATCTGGACAGGCTGGATCAATGGAGCAAGGCCTGCTGTAAAAGGTTAAATAAGGCCAAGTGCTGGGTCCTGCACTTGGGTCACAAAAACCTCCTGCAGTGCTACCAGCTGGGGGAAGAGCGGCTGGAAAGCTGTCTTGCAGAAAAGCCCTGGAAGTGCTGGTTGACTGCCAGCTGAACACAATCCAGCAGTGTGCCCAGGTGGCTTCCTGGCCTCTCTCAAAAACAGTGTGGCAGCAAGATCAGGAGAGGCTCTTTCCTCCGTACTTGGCACAAGTGGGGCCACGCCTCAAGTGCTGTGTGCAGTTCTGGTCCCCTGGTTCAGGAAGGACATGGAGGTGCTGGAGCAGGTCCAGAGAAGGGCAGGGAAGCTGGTGAAGGGTGTGGAGCACCAGCCTTACGAGGAGCGGCTGAGGGAGCGGGATTGTTTAGCCTGGAGAAAAGCAGGCTTGGCGGGGGAGGTGGGGATATCACTCTCTGTAACCACCTGGAAGGAGATTGTAGCCAGGTGGGGGTTGTTTTCTTCTCACAAATAACAAGCCGTCGGACAAGAAGAAATGGCTTCAAGTTGCACTAGGGGAGGTTTAGATTGGATATTAGGAAAAGCTTCTTCTTTGAAAGGGTTGTCACACGTCAGAACAATCTGCCCAGGGAAGTGGTTGAGTCATAATCCCTGCAGGTATTTAAAAAATGTGTTGATGTGGCATTTGGGGACGAGGTTTAGAGGTGGACTTGGCAGTGCTGAGTTAACACTTGGACTCAATGATCTTAAGGGTCATTTCCAGCCTACATTTTTCTAAGATTCACATATAAAAGTTACAATTTTCTTTCATTACCCTGATGCCTGAGGTGGACTGTCAGAGTTATGACAGGTCACACCATCGCTGTCATCTCTGGAATTTATCTATAGGATTAACTCCTCAAAGGCTTTGAGAATATGGATTACAGTCTCTAGAAGTCTGTGGTCTACTAGAGCCAGCATGAATTCTCACTTTCTCAGAGAAAATAAAAAAGGAAAATATCAGTGGCAGACTGTTTTATTACGCTATTTTCTTAAAACTTAAAGTATGTTAGGGTTCTAGTCAAGTGCTCATATAATGCCAGTTCCCATTTTTAGTCTGTTAAGTGTTACAGCTGAAGAAGGAGAGTGTGAAAATTGCAGGCAGCTTCTTATTTTTAACAGGAAGCTCATATATAGGAGTATTGTTGTATCTATTGTATGGCTTTTCTTCTGTCCCCCAAAACAATGCACATTGCACATGGAATGGGAAACAGCTGCCTTTGCATTTGTTGGGGTTTTTTTGGGATCTGTTTGTGAAATATACCTGGACATAGCATTTATCATATGTAGCCAGAAAGGAAAGAGCAATAAAGGTCAAGTGGCTAAGACACTTACCAGGACTTAATGAATTTACATGATTCTCTGAATCTGTACAATCCAAGTAATGCTGTTGTAAATATTTTTACAAAGGGCTAGTTATTATTTTGGTCTTTGCTACATTGAAAAATGTCACAGGTTTTAATGAAGTACCTTCTTAGACAGGATTTAAGCAACCAGAATTTTGTCTTTTGAGATTGTTGATTATACTCTGAGCTCAGAAGCTAAAAAAAAATTGGGGCGTGGCTGTTGTGCAGATCTAGTGCATAAGCTTCTGTTGCTTCCATCAAGTTGAATATTATTCAGAATGAAGTAACCTATGTAAAATATTTCATGGAATCATGTTTGTAATGCAAATATTTTCAAGTAGAGGGCCTATGCCAAGATGTTGTAATTAATCCGTTAACCTCCCATAGCAAAATAATCTGTAAACAACAAATCTTGTTTATCAACTGCGGGTATTTTTCTCAGGCTGCATTGGGGCAAACTAATTTCTACTGTCTCTAACAGTGTAAATTGGTCCATTACTATGCAAGAATCCAAGCATGTGTCCCAGAGAATCAAAGTCCCATCAGCTAAGAAGCAGCTCAGTGCCATGTGGTGTAACTAGAAAGGCTTTTCCCCTGCACAGCTGGCTCAGTCAGTGCTGGGTCCTCTGAGCAGTGCTGTATAAGTGACAGGCAGGAGGCAAATACAGCATGCACTTACCTTCAGGAGGACCTGGGCATCAGCAATTCATGAGTGTCTCTTAGCTATGACAAAACCCAAACCCCTTTCTGGTTCTATTAGCTGTGTGTTGGTAAGTTCAAAGGCTCCACAGAATGCTTTCTTACCATTTTTACATATAATGTATTCATTTTGCTGGTCTTAATTAGGTAAGGGCAAGCCATATGCTACGGGGTTGCCAACATAACAACTTGGTGGGAAACCTCTGGTGCAAAGACCTTTCTTTGAATGAGGTTTTGTTGTTCATAGAGTTGTGCATGAGCATCTGGAGAAAAAATCCAGGTAGAATGTGCCATGTTTAGAGACTCTTTCAAAGTAATTTTGATTGCATGAACTGGATTCTACCATATAGAAGCTCAGGGAGTAATATTTCCCTTGGAAATTTTAATTGAAAAAATAAACTGGTAACTCACAGAGTGCTTAACTTAGACTTTGCTTTTCACATCTGTTGCTGGGTTTTGGTCTTCTTGAACACTTAGTAGATATATTTCTTTAGACTATTTCTGCTAGGCTGTAACTAGCTCCTTGTATGCATAATCAGATTTTTTTATGGGAGGAATATGTGCAAGTAGATGTGAACTAGTGAGCTGAATACTTAGGACAGGCCCAAAAAAATTTTAACTGACTATTTTTGAAGAATTTGCCAGAAATTTGTAACTCAGAGATTGCTGTTTTCTTTGTACTTAACGTAGGAAAGCTGTGATAAGTAGTGTGGACTGCAGTCACATTGCTCATTATTGACTTTTTAATGGAGTTCCCTGTAGTCTGTTGCAGAAGCCAAAACAAATAAACAGCAGCAGAAAGCCTGTCCCTACTTGTCAGATAAACTATGAGAGACTTCCTCCCTGATACACTGAATTTTGGGTAGTTCTGTTTCCTGTCTGGATGCCAGTGTATTACTAATGTTTGAGGGGCTTTGGTCTTCACTTAAAGGGAAAGTGTCTTTTTACATGTGAATGTCATGACAAGTTATTGCTTCTATGACCCTTTGTAGATTGGATGTTGTTAGCTATTTGAAAAATGGGCGACATCAAACAAAAGAGTTATGATTGCCTGTGCTCCAGCTTGATTTACTTTTATACTTTACCATGTGCTCTTTCTTTCACAGGCATTTCCTATTCAAAACAGGAACAGGGACCACACCGCTGTTCAGCACTGCCACGCCAGGGTACACAATGGCATCGGGCTCTGTTTATTCCCCTCCTACTCGGCCACTACCTAGGAACACCCTGTCCAGAAGTGCTTTTAAATTCAAGAAGTCTTCGAAGTACTGTAGCTGGAAATGTACTGCACTCTGTGCTGTAGGGGTCTCAGTGCTGCTGGCAATACTGCTGTCCTACTTCATAGGTGAGTCCCATTTTTTATAATTGTCACTATGAACAGTGGTGTCTGATGGATTGTACATGGACTGTCACATACTAACCTTTAACTAGCCAAGTCTTTGGTAACACTAAAAGCCACAAGCATTTAATGAAAAGTCGCAATTGTTTTGAGAAATTAGAAAATTTGAATATTTTGCAAGCATCCTGTAGCTTGATGGTCAGTGAATTAACTTCAAAGAATTTGAACTACAATTTGAACTACATTTGAATTATTTGAACTATTATTTGAACTACAATTAAATTATGTGGGGGTCAAGTACTTATAAAAGTAAGTGTAAAATATAGGCTGTAAAAATTCCATGATGTGAATATAACTTTTAGCATATCTTTGGAACCCTTTTCCTCTCATTTTGCTGAAATATTGCTAATACAATCTTTAGGAATGCTAACTATCACCTATTTCATCATTACATTCATGTATGTTTGTGTATAGAGCTGGAGCAAAAGTCTAATACAGATATTTGATTGTGAAATAGGGAAAATAATTGTCCAAAAGACAACATGCAGTGAAGATTTAGACTTCTTCCTCTCTTGTGGGTTGTTTATTTTTAATTAATGTCACTTTTTGCTATTTGTTTGTTAAATTCTGTTTTCCAAATTTTATTTTAGAAGATTTCCTTCATTTCTTCATCTCCTTAATTATTTTCATAAATGTTCACTATAAATAGTATGTAATTTGCGTTTTAGTCAGTTAGTAGGAGCAATGGTTGGCTATGAGAAAATGTCCTTGACTTTAATAAGGGAACAGAACAGAATCATTTTGCACTCATAACTTCCTTTGCATCTTTGTCCGGATTACAGATTTTTAATCTCTTGAGACCATAAATGATCTTCAAAGACTTTCTTTTAACTGACTTGTTAATTAGAAGTTTAGGTCATCACAGTTACGGAAATATATTGATCTGGTTTTTGTTACTGGTTGGACACAAGTTTAGCATCTTAAGGAGTGGAGGAAAGAAAACAGAAAGAAGAGAGTCAATCTCTCTTTCCTTCCCTATTTTTAAAATTGGTGGTAATTTATAATAGAGCCTAGAAGGCCTTAAGATCCTTAAATCTTCATGTCGTTGTTCAAACAACCTTGTTGCATTTCAATGCAAGACACAGCATAAGCTCCATAGAGCCTTTGAAGTAGTTCTTACTGAGTTGAATCTCCTGTGAACAATGCAAGAAACCGGGTTGCTGAGTAGCTGGAGAAATTCCCCTCTGACCCAGCAAAGCTGAGCCCCTGAGCACCCTTTCCACCTCAGCTGCCAGCCCCAAAGAGCAAAGGATGTATATGCAAATGTAGGGCTTGCCACTGCTCTTCAGCTTGCTTCAGTCATTGGATTTGTGGTTATTTTGTGTGAATGTGCAAGGAGTTTAAAGGTGTGGTTTAGAGTTAAGTTTTGACACGGAATCTTTTTTTAAGTAGGATTGAAACAATCCCACTTATAAAATGCATTAATTGTGCTCAGTCTCTGTAATATTGCCTCATAAATCAGAAGTAAACATCTGCCGCTAAATAAATGCATAAATATGCAAGAAAGAATTCGGCATGAAGTATCACTGTGAGGAGCCGGGAAAAGCAGCCATACATATAGTAAAACACTGGAGACTGATTGTGAGCTGAGCTCTACACTTTGCCAGCCCCAAAGAGCCAGATTACTTATGAATCTGAGGGGCATGGGAAGACAGCTGTACGGGATTATTTCTCCCACAGGCGCACTAAGAAATACAAGCATGTCTAATGCACTTCTATTCCTGTGTTCGGGAAAGAGGACAGAGCTTTCCAGTGAGCAAAGGCTGAAAGCTCCACACATCATTTATTCACATACCCTGTAAAGAAAAGATAGCTGTACAACATTTCATTTCGTGGGCGCACGCCAGCTCACATCCTAGCTGAAATAATGCACAACAGCCTTCCTCTGCCCACAGTCAATAAGGAGCTCAATGCCTACTGGTGATATTACACATATTTCAGCTAACTCAGCAATCTGAATGTAAAATTCAGCACTCAGAGATGCTCTCTAGAGAACTTTGTGTCCATAAAATGACGAATGGATTGCACTCATTCGTATATGTGGTTTTCCCATCTCTGCAGATGTAATATCAGAAATATTCCCCATTTAATAGGCCAGCCAAGTATAAGTGAGTAGAAATCATTAATATAAGATGGAAGCACTCCTTCATCTTAGTTGACTGTTTCATAGAATGGTTTGGGTTGGAACAGATATTTAAGATCATTTTGTTTCAAACCCCCTGCATGGACAGGGACATGTTGTGCTAGATCAGGTTGCTCAAAGCACCATCCAGCCTGACCTTGAATGTATCCAGGGATGGGGCATCCACAGCTTCTCTGGGCAACCTGTTGCATTGTCTGACCACCTCACAGCACAGAATTTATTCTTAATATCTAATCTAAACCTGTCCCATTTCAGTGAAAGCCCTTCCCCTTTCTCCTGTCTTTGTGAGAAGTCCCTCTCAGGTCCCTTTCAGGTCCCCTTTGGGTAATAGAAGGCTGCTGTAAGGTCTCCCCAGAGCCTTCTCTTCTTCAGGCTGCACCACCCTCCTCCCTTTTAGGAGTCTATGAAACATGTCTTTGGAGGAGACATGTTTCATAACATAGGTGTGAAAGGGAAATGACTGAGTAGGTAATTGGCTGTAATATTAAGAGAAGAGAGGGATTGCAGTGTTGTGTGACCCCTAGCACCCTGTGATTGCCTCCAATACAGTGGTCTGGCATCTCTGCTGAAGTTTACAGCAGCTGAAGTGGCATGTCACATTTGTATAGCCAGTTTGAGACATGTCTTGTACTTCACAGAGATATGTTGCCACAAGTGTGAAAATGTAACCACCTTGTAGTATTTGCATGAAAGAATGAATTCAATATGAAGTATCACTGTCAAGAGCTGGGAAATCACCTGTTTTGCAGCATGGTTGCAGCAGAATACGCCAGTACACGTTGATAAGGTGTGGCTGATGTCTGTGGTGTGCCTGTGGCAGCTGCAGACAGAAGGACTAATAGACCACTCTTGCCGTGAGTGGTGGCGTAATCCAGCCCTTCTTTGAAGTGCAGAGATGAACGTGTCGTGCCCAGGCTTATTTTAGTCACAGTGAGTATGGGGTAGAGAAAGTGACTTGAGATCTTGCTGCCTCTGCTCAGGCGACATAAGGCAGAAGAGACAGTTTGCTAGACTTCATGTCTGCCTTTGCAGAGCTGCTCAGTCAATTACTGCTCCGTCAATTAGCCCAGCCAGAGGAAGGAGCTGCATCAAGAGTCTGGTATGTCTTGCACTTCTTCCATCACTCTGACAGGAAAGACTCCTACGTTTACAAAGTCTGCAAAGATGAGGTGAGAGCAGAGAGTGTCAGCATGGGTAGAGACCAGAGCAGACACTACACTCTAAAGCCACTTAATGCAGTCTTGGAGATCACAAGGAATTGAAAATGTTATTTCAGTCTAAAGGAAAGTCTTCCCATGAATTCTTGCATTTCTAGCCCACGTGGTCTCTCTCAACCATTCTGCAATGTACAAGATACTTAAACTTTCTATTCCTGTCAATTAGACCTGCAAAGAGGAAATAGGAAGGAGTTGTGGAAAATGTTGGTCCTTTGCTTTGAGGCTTCATCTACTGTTAAATGGTTGAGAAAGAAATAAAGCAACAAAAACACACAAGTGCTGAACCAAAAGATAGTGTATTAACATATAGAAGACAGGAATTAGAAATAGCTCTAGTTTAAAGTCAGGGATTCGAGGAAAAGCTCCCAGAAATAATGGATTACAGAATGGGGAGTAAAGAATTTAAACTGCCTTATTTTGGGATCAAGTTTACACTGGAATTTCTTTAAGCTGCTCATTTGCTTAACTTCTGTCTGTAATCAGATTTGCAACCAAGGAAAAAAGCCACCTTTTTTTTCCAACATGAAGATTTTAGATTCTTCTTCCCCTCTTTGGAGGACTGACTGGGAAGAGCAGTATTAAATATAAGCCATTAAAGAGTAAGAAGAATGAAATTGCATTTGTTTGACCTCTCTATATAGACATTAACAGCTTTAACCAGCTTGGTACAGAGTGTCCGTGTGAAACCAGAAACAGAGTTCAGTTTTACTATGTGGAGACAACACAGAACTTTGTTTCCTTTGTCTCCCCATGGCTTACTACCTCTTTCAGCACCCATCACTTGCAGTGAATGAATGAATAAAAGGAAAGTTCTGAAGAGCACCTCCTAGGTCAAAAATAAGCACCACGTCAAAGTTTCATATGTAACCACCATCCTTCAATTCCTCGTTTTGGGATTTTCCCTCTCTGCTTAGGTTTTACTAAGTGAAGGAGCTTAGTTGTTCTTGGATGTGATTTTTCCTAACAGAAAAATCCACTGTGTAATTATAGGGAACTAACCAGTCAGAAGGAGTTGTTTCCAATATGTTGTTACATATCACAGACTCTGACCAGCTGTATTAACAAACTGATTTGTACTGTACTAATTATTTCTGCTGGAGTGTGGATTCAGCAATTAATGGATGAAATTAATGAGAATTTGGGGACCTCAGAACCCCTCTTTCTTCCCCAAGAGTCACTCTAGCAATTGATTCTTCATTGCCAATGGCACTGTCTTGACATTTTGTAAATCAATATAAGAAATTACTGCCATTTTCACTGTACATGGAAATGAAGAGGGGAGCAATTCAGTTCCTCAGTCAGTGCTGGAACTGCGCAATACCAGATTCAGTCAACTAAGCATGAAGAGCTGTACACTGAAAAATTGCAGGCATCTGTCATGAGTTTTGTCTTATGTCTGCTAAATAAGTTTCCATGAACATAGAACATCATTTGAATGCACAGTAGGATGTGAGCTACTTAGGCCTTTCCTGTCTTGACTGCTTCACAGCAACCTGTCATGCTTTGAAGTCATTGAGCACTTCGCTCTGTGTGTAATTTGGGGTTGATCATTTTGTTAGCCTTATCTCAGCTATCAGTGGTCAGAA